GCGCTACAGTGAGATCCTCTAAGAAAATGCACAATGAATGGGAAAGAGTGATGCTATAAATATTTACTGAGAAGATAACTAGATTCCCCCGTGCTGGGCCAATTATGATGTACTAAATATATTAGTAAAAATGCTTGAAAAAATTTGAGAGGATCCGTGTGGGTCTTTGGGTGGGTTTGTTTGTTTTAGAAAGTGAAATAAGAGGCACTATGTTATTGCCCTGTCAGTTTTATTGAGCCAGGGAATCTCAATAGCGTACCCGTGGAAGGACACATGAGATCCACATTAATGCAAATTAATTCGTTATGAGTTCTAACTCTGGGACTGCTAAGCGGAGTAACGATGGCGCATCGTTCTGAGGGTGTTCTGTAGCAAGTGTTAATGAAAACTGCTGCGTTAAGAACATGCCTCAGCACTTCAGCCCACGTGCCCCTGTGTGCTAGAAATGTGCTGTAGCTTCACTCCCAGATGAAGAACTTTAATTATGTTTTGATGTTTAAAGAACACCAACTAGTCTCTCCTCAAAAGCCGGCCCAGAAAAGCCTACAGCTATCAGCACCAAGCTCAACCCTAGCCTGTCTTTGCCAGGGATTGTAGCTCAGGCAGGAAAACAATGAAGGAGCATCCCCGGTAGAGATGTAGAGAAAACTTTCTTGAAGCCATCCTCCCTCCCCCTCCCCCTCCCCCTTTCTTCCTTTTAGAGGATTTTGGTCTCAGGCAATGTTGCAAGTCAATACTTCTTTCCCCAAATGTGAGTAGGTGGATGTGTATGGAAGCTGTAAAAGTTAATGATCCAGGTCTGACTCATAGCTCAGGGTTTCAGGTTGAGGAAAAGGCGGTGGGGGGGGGGGGGTGGAGAGGAAGAGAAAGAAATTAATGAGGGTAAATAGACGTATGATGGACCGATGAGACAGCGAGAGAGAGCTTGTTCTAGGGTCTGAGGGCACGCGTTCTGTGGCGTGTGTTTTCCTGGGGTAGAATACCAGGAAGTGAGGAGGCAATGTCTTTGTTAGACTGTGGTTTAGGATGTTGCAAAGATTCTCTGTCTGGATCTTTGCAGGGATTATAAACCCAAGAATCTTCTAGGCATCCCCCTGGACCTCCTCCTGGATCTTGAGGCTTATCTGACACTTTCTGAGCAGGCAGCCATAGGATGGGTGGTAGTCATCCCAGGTCCTGGGCAAGAGTCGATTTCCCATTGAATGAAAAAGGCTGTCTACATGGGACAGGGCAACGTTGTGATGGGGTGGGCTGTGTTTGTGGGGCACATAAATTATCTTTTTTTTTTTTTTTTGCTGCCTCAGTATCCCCGAAAGGATGAGGACCTAAGTCAAGGTCTCAGATAAACTACTAGAAAACATTTTGTCTTTAAAGCTGGTGATGTGGAAATTAGAGTTCAAGTGAGCAAGTGAGAAGAAGGGAAAAGGAAAACAGACCAAGACCCCCACCCCCACCCCCACCCACCCCCGCAAAACCCAACCTGCTTAAGAAATTGATCTGATATGTTTGTGTGTGTATGTATGAGTGTGCATACACACACACACACACACACACACACACACACACACACACACACACGAGAGTGCACACAGGCGTGCAAACAGATATGAGAAAGCTAGGTGATTCATAAAATTGAAAAGTAAGTCCATGCCCTACCTCATCCTTTAAGTGACGTGAACTGGTGTAATATTTACTCTTCTCCCCATTGAAGACTGCTGTTTTGTTTGTGGCTTGGAGCATGAGATTCCTGTGGTTGACAAAGGCTGGTTCCTCTTCTATCCCTGGGTATCTCTCATCTTCAGTATCTGTAGCATCGAATTTAGAGTCAGTGGTAATGATTAGAAATAAAGCCAGAGGAATCAAGATAGGGTAATAAGGGAGCAGTTAGTCGCAGTGTTGCAAGCATCTACTTAAAACTGCCAACTCTTCCTGACTCTTCTGGACAAGTGGGGCCTGGTCGCTTGGGTGCTCTGATAGGGAGGGGTGTTTGACGGCTGTGACCTAGGAAGGGAACGTGTCTTTTTTTGTGGGGCTTCCTAGGAGGGAAGAAATGAACCAAGGACCCCGGAGTCTGCTGGCTCCCTGGACTGTCCAAGGGGAGAGGCACTTATCCTAGGCACAGGACACACCTACATAGGGAAGCCACAGGATGGGATGAGGAAGTGACTTGGAGCTTTCCAGGTGACCTGTGCAGAGTGTGTTAAACATGTGGCACCTGCTTTTTAATCTCAGATAAGGCATAAGCCCTCTTGCCCTGGACCTCTGTCTTCATGTACCCTTTCAAAACACAGAGGCCTAAGCGTGTTTTGTTTTCTCCTTCCTTATGGTGGGGGGTGGGGGGAGGGAGGCAGAGGAAGGCAGACAAGAGACCAGTTCAGTTTGGAATGCCAAGTTCTTATGGAGCATCTGTACTTTCTCTTTAAGAAGCTGGGCTGTAAACAAACAAGGCCTCTTCATGTTTTATAGGGAAGGCAAAAAAACTGTTAAAGCCTGTGTTTCAAAAAACATTTTTGGGAAAAGAGAGGGTAGAAACCCCAGGGAGAACAAGAACATTTGGTATTCTTTGCTGTCACTGGCTGGAGGTAGCCTAGGCTCTGAATTCTCTAGAACACAGTGGTTGGTGGTTGGGAGAAATCCTGCTTAGATTCTGAGGGAGTCTTTTGCACTGGCTGGGGCTGTGAGCGGGTAAGAGGGTGTCTGCTCACCCTAAGGAAGTTACATTGTTTGGAGGTGTTAAAACGATGTGAGGGTGACTGTATGCCCACATGTGCGTCCTGTGCAGGCACGCTTAACTGGAGGTAAATTGACTTGATTCTTGATGCAGGTTTCTCTGCCAGAGTCTTTAGAAACTTCCGTATATGTGTGTGTGTATGTATATTTTTACCATTTTAATTGCTGCATTCACTCCAGGCTCATTGGTGCTTTATGGGGAGGTGGTGAATGCAAGGATTAAGAATGGAACTGGACAAGTGAAAATTGCATTTGGCGTAGTCACAGTTTCATTAATTTATTCATAAGACGATGACTACATGAAATTATTTTCCAGGGCATATCCGAAGTTATCAGGTGTCCATTCAATTTTAATTGACAATGTAAGATTCCTGTGGTTACCCTGAGTACAGATTGCCTGGGGCTCCGCAGGGCTTGTGGGAACAGAAGCTTGGACAAGTTTCCATTAAGCTCTGAATTGGGCAATTGGAAAAGAGGAGAATAAAACCCTTGAAAGGAAGGACCAAGTTGTTACTGTTGCCTGCTCTGCGGAGGAGAGAGGACCTCCTCTTAGAGAAGACTTGTTCTCTAGCCAGGAATTCCAAACTCGCAAAGAGACCTGTCCCCCACACAAAAGTTGTTTTAACATGATGGAAAATTGTCACAGTAATGAGTGAAATCCCAGCTCCACTGACTGGGGTGGGTAGTTGGGGGACAAAGGGTTCAGACGCACCTTTCTTTTTCAGCCAATCACTTTGATGGGCTCCTTGAATGTGTGGGGGCTGTGCGCGTAGAGACTTAGTTTACTTTGTCCATATTCACTTGTATGAGGGGAGTGGTTTTATTGCTCAGCTTTGGCATGTATAGAGATTATTTTTATTTTTTCCCCAACTTTAGCTTGTCTTCTTTTAATTTGATTAACATGTTTTCTTAGGGTTTTTTTTGGGGGGGGGTGGCTGTTGACATCCTCTTCAAGTCCATTGTATACTAAAAATGGGTACTTATTACATTTTGAGTAATGTGGGTTTAGACTGCATTATTACAGTGTTGTTACATTTTAGTTCAGAATTTATGGGAGTCTTTTTCCTTTTTAAAAGAGCAAACAGACCCTATTGAATTCTCTTTCCAGGGAACAAGATAACAAATTAACTGAGATTAAAAGTCCACTGCAGCCCCAATGGTACTTGGAGCACAGAGGGTTCTGGTAACTTAGTTCTGAAGCAGTCGTGCTTACAGTTTGTGAGGATAAAGATGACAATGTAGGTGTTGATCCGAGTATTTGGAGGAGGTACCCCGACTTGCCTGCTACAGGAGGGGGTAGGCTATCTGATGCTTCCTCGTCTGTTTGAGTATAGTAATGCATTTCAGATAATTATTGAGACCCTCTCTGTGATTATTGGGTTATTTATAAAATGCCTCAACCCATGGTGCTAGTTTTACCCATTGGGTAGCATCCCACGGTTAACTTGTATCATTTGGGGAGGAGTCTTGGTGCTTTTGTAAGGGAGTTCACTTGACAATGGGGGGATGCGTATGGATGCAGAGGGAAAGACTGGGTTGAGAGTTGTGGTCCTAGGAGTAAGGCAGAGATTCACTGAGAAGTGGTCCTTCACCGACCTGGGGCTCTTGGGCAGTGCTTGGCTCCCACTGGGGGTAGCGTAGATTACTAGAGAGCAGGTTGTAGAGATGTCTTAGGCTCCGAAGGCTTAGTCATGGCCAAAGAATGTATAAGGTGCTGCTGGGTGGCCCCTGAACTCCACAGAGACCTTTGGTTTCCCAGAAATAGATTGTGTCTGCGAGCCAGGGTTCAGTTGTGAGAGATACAGGGGGTGGGGCTTGTACTTGCAGGCTAGTGGCTTCTTACAGCTCTCTCTGTCTTTACTCTTGCCTGTGTGTTGCAGACTCTGTTGACTTTTGCAGCACCCTGTTAAGTTTTCTTCAGCCTTCTGCTCAGCACCCACTGGCTTCCTTTGTGTCTTTATGGGCTTCAGTCTCTGCTGTCCGTGTCACTGATTCTCAGTCCTGCCCCTCCTCCTCCCCTTTTGTGATTATTGAATGGGTGCTTAAAAAAAAAAAAAACAAACCCCAAACCCCCAAAACCAAAACCAAAAGCAACGATTCAGATTAGTGTGATCATCTTATCCGTAATAATGAACGTCCACAGGTCTTGACTGGATGCCAGGGCGGCAGTTCAGCCTAGGGAGGTTTGTCTGCTAATCATGAACTGCTTAAGATGTTTTCTTGTAGTTTGTGACATGAGCAGAACGCTTTGATTTGGTTTCTTCCTACAGCTCCATTTTCAATCCGGCAGCACTCATTACTCTGCGTACAAAACGATTGAACACCAGATTGCAATTCAGGTAGGAGGCGCAAGAGATTCTGAAGCTTGAATTACCAATGTGTAGGTCTCTTGTGTCTTTTTATTCTCTGCCTCCCTCACCCAGATAATGATGATGGTGGTGATGATGGGGATGATGATGAGGAGGATGGTCATGATGATGGTGATAATGATGATGGTGATGTCATTATGATGATGAGATGATGGTGGTGGTGGTGGTTTGAATCATTGAGGGAGGTGGGAAGTGAAGAACAGAAGAAATGTTGCTAAAATGATTTAAAGATACGAAAAGCAAGATCAATCTATGTTGTTTAAGATTGTCTTGATCAGGCATTGTGGGGCTCAGAACCCATGTTGGGTATGGTTACTGCCTTTTACTGAAGGAAGGGCCTTGAGTTGGGAGGAAAACAGGTTGGCCAATTGTGAACAGGAAGAATTGAGAGAGGGAGCTGGTGAGAAGGCCATGTGACAGTTGGGAGAATTGTTTCCTGTGGATCAAAATCATGGCCAGTGGTGCTAAGATTAGCACTTTTGACCTGGCCATCCCGAAATGTTGATTTCTCTTGGGCCTCTTGTGTTGGAAGGAAAGGCGGCTTCTGATGAGTGTCCTGTTTCCCCGCTCACTAGTGCTTCCATTCTTTTAAATCCAAAGGCTAAACAAACCACAGACTAATGTAGATGTGGGGCTGAACAGAAGCCAGCCGACAGCGGCAGTGGGGTCGGGCAGACTAATGCGCTTTGTCTGGCGGGCTGGCCTTGCTAGGAGGGACGTCTCATGGTGTCCCTCACTGTACACCCACATCCTGAGTGTTCTCTGCGAACCCTTGGCAAGGAGGCTTTTGAGAGCTTTGTTTGGCTGTGATGTGGAAGTCTGGCTTAGGGCCTCTGAAGTTGCTGTTGGCTTGGTGAACGCCACTTTCTTGCTGGCCCTTTGGTAGGAAGCCTTTGCAGGTTGTTGTGTGAGTGTGTTTGTGCTTGTGGACATGCGTGCTTATATACGGGTGTGTGTGGTCATGTGTGCAGATGCACATGTGTGCAAGTATACATGTTTGAGTGCACCATGTATGTACATGGGTGTGAGGGTACACATAAATACATGTATGTACATGGGTATGAGGGTGCCTGTGTGGCCTATTGGAACCCCTACTTCCCATCCACCATATTGCATCTTCTTAGCTTTGCCATTTCAAACCTGTTTCAGCCTCCTTATTACTTTGAAATAGCTGTTTGCCCCAGGTGAATGGAATTATCCCTCCAGTGAGAGGCATGAGTCAGCAGGTCTTTGAAAAATGTGGTTGGTTCCTAGTCTTTTTGTATTTATTTCAAGGCTATAGTAGCCGGGCTTAAAAATATTTACGTTACCTCTGTGCTTGGGTAAGGTGCTGATTTTCTGTGTGTGCTTCAGGGGAAAAGCATGCCTGTTGACTTTCACTCTTCCACACCCAGATATTTTCACAACTGGTGTGTGTGGTGAGCATGAAGCTCCAGTTCTTCCTGGCACACTTCCTGTTGGAAGTTGCTTCCTTTTAAGGCCCAGTAAGTCTTGCTTTTGCAAAACAGTTTGGACTCAGGGCTGGGTTAGAGAGCAAGTCTAGACCCCGGCTCTGGGTGAATGGGTGGATAAACACAGTGTCCCCAGGCCTAGGGAGGCCTACTCCAGCACAGGAGGGCTGGAATCTTGTTGCCTGGGGTGTGGGAATTGTTGAAGCTGAATAGGACAGTGATCCTTATCTTGGTGTGGAAAGGCTGGCTGGGGCCATGTCACTGGGAGAGCAGCCCGAGACCAGCCCAGCTGTTGGCTCTTTACACCCGGTGCTGAAGTGCCCCTTGTTTGAAGACGCAGTTCGTCTTTCTCCAAACCACCTGGCACAGTGCGGGCCATGTGAAGCCCTTTCTCAGGAGGAAGATGGAGTAAATTACAGAGCTTATTGTTTGGAGGACTGAAACCATCCCTGTTCCTCCATGAACAGGTAGTATTGTTCTCCCCTGCTTCTATTTGCTAAGGCCTGATGCCCATGTGGGCAAACAGAGGGACATTTTATTGGAGTCCTAGCAGCATGCTTTCAAAAGTGTCCATTCTCCCTCAGTGTCTGCTCGACCAGCACAAGGCCGAGCCAAATGGCAGCTAGCTGTAGTTTTAGCGTGATCATCAAAGGATAAATGGCCAAAAACAAAACAAAAGAAGCAGAGGGAAAAAAGGCAAAGCTCAGACAGAGTAAGATTGTTCTCTGAATTCTCTGGGCATTTCAGCAGCAGCCTGGGTGGGTGGGTGGTGGGGTGCGTGGGGAGTGGGGGAGAGAAAGCAGCCTTGGGGTGGGGGGGTGGCCTCTCCTGGAGCACAGAAAACCAGATCTGGTCTTTTCTCTCATCCCAAGCTTAAATCCAGCATGATGTTGGGGCAGCCGTTTCTTCCCTGGAAACTTAAAACTGGCTGAACCTTAACAAATGCTGTATTTCAGGAGGAGCTGAGCTTGCTGCTCTTCCCTAAGCTCCATCCTAAAATAACCTGGTACTATGACACCGGGCGTCACATGAGGTTCATTCCTTGCCCTCCCTCCCTCCCCTCCTGTCATCTCAGCACTCAGCCAGGCTCACTGTGGGTGTGAATGGCCTCTGACTGAGTCTATGGACACATCCCTTTGTCCCCTGGTGTCAGGTGCTGTGCTGGGACCTTCCCCACTTTTGATTCTGTTCAGCCCTCCTTGGTTCTGAAAAGACAAGGGCAGCAAGAATGGCTGAGAACACAGTGCAGCTGGACCGAAAGTTAAACAGGCTTAATAATATGTACTGTACGGTTATTATTAGCAATGATAATAAATTGTTATTTAATTCTGTTGCGCGCTGTGTGTGTGTGTGTGTGTGTGTGTGTGTGTGTGCTGGTGATGGAACACAGGCACTCCTGGATGCTAAGTGTGAGCTTGTTCCCTGAGCACCATCCCCATCCAGACCATTGGCCTTTTAGAAGTGTCACTGAAACACAGCACAGTCCGCAAGTGTTTAGTAAGGAAGAGGATGGACTTACAAATGTGAGAACATCCAAGAGGCCTCACCCATGTCAATGTGCAGATGGGGGCTTGTGTGTATTTTCATATTTGAGGATATATAGCCAGTCTGGTTAACTTCATGTTACTTTGGTTTGAAAGCATCTTGAGATAAGCATGAAGGGAAAAGCATGACTGTGTTCCAATAAAGCTTTATTTATAAATACAAACACTGGCTGGAGTTGGACCCAGGGCTGAAGTTCACTGCGCTCTGATGAAATACTCTTAAGTCTCCCTTGTTCCTCCCTCTTCCTAGTGTTGTGGCTTTCTGTCTCCCCAACCTGCGGAGTAGAATGTAAATGGAATCGTCCAGTATGTATGGTTCTGTTGTTGGAGACTTGGTTGCTTCCAGGTTTACCCTATCCCAAATACAGGACAAGTAGTTTTGGACATTTTTTGAAGGAATGTCAGTGTCTGAGCATATTGTCCTACACTAGCAAATGCGTCTAGTGGTGGCGTTGAGGGGTGTATATGTAGCTTTGCATTAATCTTTTATAGGTAGAAGCCTGCCCAGGGAATGTTGAGTGTCATCTTTGAAATGTATGGTAATTAGTTGTGAGGAGAGTAAGTGGTATATTTGAGGAGGGGGTAGTGGTAAAACTGGAGGCTACTTGTAGATGTTCTCCTGGGTTGCCCCTCATGCAGGAGTTTGGCCTCTGGTCCTAGCTCTTAGGACCAAGTTCCTCCACCATCTCTGTTAAATGGTGATGAGCACTCACGCTGACTCAGGAGATTGAGCCCTAATTGCAGATGTGCAAAACCAGAGCCGCCTTCTGGGATGGCCTGCAGGTGGTTGTGCACACAGTTAGGCGTCTCTAGCTTCCCTGGAGGGACCTCTTCCAGCACTCCTACTGGGGCATTACTGCAGCCTCCAAGAGAAGTTCTGTAATCAGGGCGGAGGGAGACCCACCTAAGACCTTTCCCTGGGTTCTCTGAAGGGCTATTTGAAAACCAGTTAAGCTTTGTTTTAAGAGTATTTTGGCCAAAGGTTGATGTTTTAACACGAAGTCAGATGTGATTTAGGGGAAAAAGCACTACACCCAACAAAAACAAACTGTGTAGACCTTTCGTGGTTGTTTGCCTTTGGAGATGTGAAGTGGTTTCTGTGTGTGCATGCGCACTCGCATACATGTGCATGCTTGCGCCTGTGGTCAAGGACAGCTAGGACAGGACCCAGAAGAAGTGGACCTTTTCATTTGTTTGCACAGCTGAGCTGGGAAGACTTTGCAGGGAGGTTTGCTTTCCCTCTTGTTAAGCTTGCAAGATCTTGTGTGAGCTTTCCAAAGCATTTGGTCCTACCCCTCCTCAACAGGGGTTCCCTGGGGCCCCCAGGACCCTTTCGGAGCTTGGGTGCTTTCTGGAGTCACAGCAAGGATGGAAAGCTTACCCACCCCGATGTGAAAGGGTGTCTGGTCCCGTAGACATGTGAAGCGCTGTGGCTGGAGCTCCTCGTTCTGCTCACATGGTGGAGATGGCTAGAGATTAGTTTTAGAAGATTTGTTCAGAGTTTAAGGATGAGGTGGCGGCAATGTGTGTGAGGGTTCCTGGTTTTCCCCTAATTTGGGGTTTGGGTGTTGGTCTCTGTTGTGTTTGTTTGTTTGTTTTTGTTTTTGGGACAATATTTCTCTATACAGCCCTCGTCCTGGAACTTACTTTGTAGACCAAGCTGGTGCCGACCTCACAGAGATCCGCCTGCCTCTGCTTCCCAAGTGCTGGGATTAAAGGCGTGGGCCACTGCGCCTGGCCTCTTTTGTGTTCTTAATCTGTCCTCTTACCTGCTCTATTTCCTGGTGAAATACATGGATGTGCAGAGTGGGGATAAGTGGAAAGATTCCCCCAAATCAGTCTGTTTAAGCTAAGAAAAAAACCCTCTTATTATTATTTTTTTAATTTTAAGACAGTGTTTCATGTAGCTCAGGCTGGCCTAAGAGTTCACTACTAATCAAGGCTGCCCTTGAGCTCCTGACTTCCTGAGGGCGTG